AGAAAGAAAGAAAGAAAGAAAGAAAGAAAGAAAGAAAGAAAGAAAGAAAGAAAGAGAAAGGGGAAGGAGGGGAAGAGAAAAAGAGGGAGGAAGGAAAGAAGGAAAGAAGGAAAGACATTCTACAGTTTCTTCACTTGAGCCCCAGAGTGCTGAGCAATGGGATTGATCCTCCTGGGTGCAGCGTGGGTCGCTTTGGGGATCCTGGGGTCAGCAGCTTCCCCAACAGCAGAGGCCCCATGGCTTGTTCTCCCCAGAGACGCAGCTCGCCTGGCAGTGGAAGATTACAACCACAGGAGCCCCACACCACCCTCTGTCTTCAGGCTCTTCAAACTCAGAAGCACCCACAAGACGGTAAATCCTGCCGCGAGAGTCCAAGGGGCTTGCAACGATCCTCTTGGGGACCGCCGGGGGTGGGGAGGGTCCCTTATTTATTTCTTGGGTTGATTCGTAGCCTGCTTTTCTCCTCTGCCGACGGGGAGGTTGAGGCAGTAGCAGCATTTATGAAAGTTTTAGCAAGGGGGAGCAAAAAGGGGTGGGATTTTTTAGATCTTGCTTGTTTTAGGCCAAGTGGCTCTTGGCTGCAGGTAAAGAGTGTCTCCCTCCATCCAACTTATTTGGGAACAAACAATCTGCAAACATCTGCAGCTTTGCAGGCATGGAAGCCCTTTCGGTTCCCTCTCTCCCTCCCAGCCCGTCTTTCTTTCGCAACGGCCGGTTTCGGCAACATCTCCTGCGAAAGATGTTCCTTGGAAATGTTAAACACCCTCCCTTTGGAGACCCACGGTGTGAACACCGAGCTTGCCGGCTGTCCCTAAGCACAGCCAGGACCGAAAAGCCGCAGCGGCATCATGCGAGTTAACGCGCAGCCTCTTTGGATCTTGGTTGCTGGCAAAGATCTGCTCTCATCTTGCCTTCTGCCTTAAAAAGTGAAGATCGTGCGCTTCCAAAACCACCCAGTGACGCTTTTCATTCTTTCTGACCCAAAATAATTGTGGGAAGAAAGAAGGAGCAAAGCATCGGGCTGAATTTGGGGTGGGGGGAGAACCAGCACAAGCGAGGCTCAGTCTGAAAATGGGCCGGATCCAGCCAGGGGCTGTGGAACGTGCTTTAAGGCCCCTTGGTACCCGGCTAACCCTGGCTGGCTTGGAAAAACTAGGCAGAGTGGGGTGCCTCGTGAGCCCCCGGGTGGGCACCCCCAGGAGATTGCAGGGCTGGAGGCTAGATTGGGAAGTTGGAAACCCGTCCCAGCAGCAGGCAGGTCAAATCGCTTCTGTGTGGCTGCCAAGAAAACTGCAAGGAGGTGTTCGTAACGGGAGGGTCTGCGGGGTAAGGTCAAAAAAGTCAAGATGTGGCCGCAGCGGTGCGATAGAAGCTCTGCCTGGTTTTCAGTAGATGGAAAACACGCAGAGCTTCGAGCACACCGCTGTGACGGACACCCTGACATTTCGGCCCTGTGCTGCGGGTACCCTGGTTCGTAAAGCCAGCAGGAATTAAGCTACCTTATTTTTTATAGTCGTTTTTATGCCCAGATGTTCTGCCTGCAACCCCACTGAGGTTCTCGCATTCTGCTCCTGCCTGCAGACTCTCTGCAGCTTTCCTTGGCTTGTCCCCTCTCTGATGCACGGGGCTCCAAGCCCTGGCTGTGCTGAGTGGGGGTGATGGGAGTTGTAGTCCAACCAATCCGGCAGGCCCCAGAGCTGATCCTTTGGCTGCACCCTGTTGCTTTTTTCCTGCTCTCTCCCCCTTCAGCCCCACCCCAAACCTAAAGACTGCATGTTCCTTGGAAACAGGATTCCACCCCCCTCATCCTCATCCTCCTTTTCTTCTTCTTCTTCTCTTTTTCTTCTTCTTCTCCTCCTCCTCTCCTCTTCTTTTTCTCCTCCTCCTCTTTTTCTTCTCCTCCTCCTCCTCCTCCTCTCCTTCTCCCCTCCTCTTCTCCTCCTCCTCCTCTTTTTCTCCTCCTCCTCGTTTTCTTCTCCTCCTCCTCCTCCTCCTCCTCTCCTTCTTCTTCTCTTCCTCTCCTCTCCTTATCCTCTTCTTTTTCTCCTCCTCCTCTTTTTCTTCTTCTCTTCCTCCTCCTCTCCTCCTCCTTTTTCTTCTCCTCCTCTTCTTTTTCTCCTCCTCCTCTTCTTCTCCTTCTCCTTCTCCTCCTCCTCCTCGTCCTCTCCTTTGTCTTCTCTTCCTCCTCCTCTCCTTCTCCTTCTTCTCCTCCTCCCCTCCTCCTCCTCTCCTCCTCCTCCTCCTCCTCCTCAACTGCCATCTGTTCAAACCCCCTCCCTTTTGTGTCTCCCCCCAACAGAGGCTGGAATGGGGCATCCACTTCAGCCTGCACTTCACCATCAAAGAGACGCATTGTCAGAAAACAGCCGGATACAGGATCGGAGATTGCAGATACAAGCCGAACGGAGTGAGTGGACTGGGGCAGAACTGGCCCTTCTCCTGCTGGGGGGCGAGGGGGGTGACAGCAGCTGGCCAACCTTAGAGGCAGCAATATTGGAAAATACTGGTAAAAAGAGAGGAATCTGTAAAGGTGTAGTTTTGCAGCTTTTTTGTAGTTTTGTGGGACAGGAAGGTTGATTTAGTTCAGTGTTTCTCAACCTTGGCAACTTGAAGATGGGTGGACTCCAACTCCCAGAATTCCCCAGCCAGCCAGCCAGAATTCTGGGAGTTGAAGTCCACCCATCTTCAAGTTGCCAAGATTGAGAAACACCGCAGTAGACATTGTAGAAGGAGAACCGTCATCCCACTTTAATCCCCACATCCGTCCAGCCCCTCCATGCCTCTGATGGAGGAAGCTGCAACTCACCAAAGCTGATACCTTTTCATAATATTTAGGAGCCAGAAAAGGTGTTACCAGACTCCTGATTTTTTGCCCCCATGAACTAACACAGCTCTCCTCCAGCAGGGTCTGCCGATCTTAGGCACCCTTAGTGATCTGGGAGGAGGTAAGCAGGGTCAGACCTGGTTAGTACTTGGATAAGAGACCACCAGGAGATCTTGGGGTGTAGGCCAGACCAGGAAGTCTAAAAGAACTCTGAGTATTTTGATCTTTCGTGGGCTAAACTGTCTCCCTGGATACTTCCTAAGGATTGCCAAAAGCCAGCGGTTCAAATTTCTTCTCTCCAGATTCAGAAAAATGTAGGGCAATTGCTCTAGAAGTCTCTGGATCTATCCGTGCCGGGAGAAAAGGAGACCACCAGAAGTAGGAGAGTTCAGGAAGGTCCTTTCGCCCGGCCACGGTTGGCCACACAGTCAGTCGTGCTGCCCCATTCCTGTTGCAATCAGAGTTCCCCCCTTTCATGCCTGCTAGAGAAAACTCTTTGCAACCAAGAAAACATTAGAGAGTATTTATAGAACGAGCTCGTTTTCAAACCAAGATTAGCCTTGCTAACTAGGCTAGTCAAAAATGGTTAAAAATCGGCCAGTGTGCAAATATAATTGTTTCGTTGCAAACAGCTGCACTAGGTAAGCTCACCCATTCCTTAAAATGCAGTAGACTTCAATTCAAAGAATGAGGGAGAGTATAGCCTACCCCACAGGGGTGTGGTTGCTGTGTTCCCCAGGCAGGAGCGTTACGTATGTCCACCGCCTTGTAGTGGCCCCGATGTGGTTGAGGATTATGGGAGCTGAAATCCAATCCCTGGTAGCCGACTCGCTTGGGGTAAATGTGATTCGATAGAGGCAGACTTGTGCAGCTTTATTCAGGATGTTTCAAACTGACGGTAATGAATCAAAAGGAAGAACAAGCTATATTCTAAACTGACTTTAAATGACATGATTGGAGTTGCCTGTAACTACATGTCCATCTGCAAATGCCTTACCTGTTGATGTCAGGTCGGGCTCAATATTTTTGGCAAGATACGTTGAGAAGGAAAGGGGGAATTGTGGGGTCCGTGGGGCTCTCTGAGCTGGGTTGTTTTCTTGCAAACGTTTTGTTCCCCGGCTAGGGAACCTCTTCAGTGCTAGAAGGTTTGCTCCCTGTTTATATAGAGTACCTTGCCCTGCCCGTGCGGGTGGGGAGAGGTTTTCTCCTTGGTAGTGCTTTGATTAGGGTGTTGTTTTCTGCTTGACTGTTTGTCTGGGGTTAATCCCTGCTTATCTGGGTGTTGGCTGCTGGAGAGCGGGTGTTCCGGTCTTTTGGTTTCCTTCTGAGCTTTTTCATGGCCTCTTTTGAATGGTGTGTCAGTGTGGTTTATCTCTATGTGTGTATTGATGGCTGATTTGTCTGAATTGGAATTGCAGAATTCCAGCAATGGAATTAATTCCCATTTAGATTCTCTCTCTCTCTCTCCCCCTCCCTCCCTTCCTTCCTCCCTCCCTCTTTCCTTCCTTCCTTCCTTTCTCCTTCCCTCCCTCTTTCTTTCCCTCCCTCCCTTCTTTCTT